AGGCCCACTGTCCCCTCACACCTCCAAGGAGGCCCACTGTCCCCTCACACCTCCAAGGAGGCCCACTGTCCCCTCAAACATCCCACTGTCCCCTCACACCCCCAGGAAGGCCCACTGTCCTCTGGGTGTGCGGGTCCTCTGTTTGTGTAGGGTTCTTCCCTGGATTCAGTGTTCCATCCTCCCAAGTCCAAAGATGGGTGCCCTGGCTGACTGAGCGCCTGGAAATGCTCTTAGTGTGAGGCTGTGTGTGTGTGCTAGTCTGGCATTCCATCCCGCCGTCCTGTGCTTCCAGAAATGGGCCCCAGCCTCTAGGAACCCTAAGAGCTTAGAGACAATGAAAGGATCATGGTGTGATACCAAGCAGGAGTAGCATCAACTTACCGAAAGCTCAAAGTGATCCCCGTGCTAGCTGATGAAAGACAGAAATTACATTTTTTATTTAATTCTATTATTTAACTGCAATAGAGAATGACCTCATGGTGTGAGAGACAAGTCAGTGATGAAAATATCACATTATGGCAGGATTCCCCTTTAATGACAGTTCTGAGCCAGGCAGATGAATGAGAGATGTGAAATGTGGGCTGGGGGGGGGCGGCTGTAGACCCGGGATGAGGGGGTTTGAAGGAAAATTTAAAGGAGCTTTCAAAATGGGACAGCTTTGTTGCACCGCTGTGAGGCAGCCACTGAATTCGGGTAACTGACTCAGTCCTCACGTAATCCAATGAAGAACTTTCGCTAAATTCCCAAAACTCACAGAAGTTGAAATGCATCCCATTTTGGAAGTTTGCTCTTCAGTGGTGGGTTTCGTCTGAATTCTCCATGGGACCGCATTCGGACTCCCCCTCCACCGCCTGTGGTGTCCCCTGAAGTGTCACTTGTCCCCTGCAGGTAAAATCAAGTATTCCGAACAGGTGTATGACTCGTGCATGGATGCCTTCGACTGCCTCCCCCTTGCCGCCCTCATGAACCAGCAGTTCCTGTGCGTTCACGGCGGCCTCTCCCCAGAAATCCACACCCTAGACGACATCAAGAAGGTGAATCCTAGCAACGGGTACTGCTGAAACGCCAGAAAGTGCTCAGCTTCCCAGATATAGGCAGCAGTCAACTTACGTGACAACGTAGAACAGAATGTTTTACTGTAAATTTACAGTGAAAATACAAGTAAACTTTATCTTTTCATTTATTTGATGTGTTCTTTAATCCATATTACTAGTATGCTTTTGGCTTGTGTTTTTTGCTATAAAGTATCTTGAATGGCAATGGAAGGAAATTTCCAAATTATGTAAAATTTGACTTTGTATTGTGGAATGAGTCATTTACGTCCGTAGAAAACTGATAATATATAAATGGCTGAAAGCTGCACAAATGTGCCAGCAGGTAAATAACAGGAATAACGGTAATAATAATGGCAGTAATAATATAGCTGGTGGGTGGAGTTGAGCTCCTCCTGTACATGCAGTATATGAGGTAGCAACCGGCTGCTAACGTCCCCCCGCTAATGTTCTCACGCTAACGTCCCCCCGCTAATGTTCTCACGCTAACGTCCCCCCGCTAATATTCTCACGCTAACGTCCTCCCGCTAATGTTGTCCCGCTAACGTCCCGCCACTAATGTTCTCCCGCTGGTAGGTGGAGTTGAGCTCCCCCTGTACATGCGGTAGGTGAGGTAGCAACTGGCCGCTAACGTCGCACTGCTAACGTTCTCCCGCTAATGTCCCACTGCTAATATTCTCCCGCTAATGTCCCGCTGCTGATGTTCTAACTGCCCCCCACTGTCATCCCCACTCTGGACCAGCTGGACCGGTTCAAGGAGCCACCCGCATTTGGGCCCATGTGCGATCTTCTGTGGTCAGACCCGCTGGAGGACTTTGGGAACGAGAAGACCCAGGAGTACTTCAGCCATAACACAGTCAGAGGCTGCTCCTACTTCTACAGGTATGTTAAGCCCCCCCATAATTCCGCTACAGTTCGATGTTCATTATGTGGGCTGGTTGGACAGGTAGGATGAAGTAAGACCCAAACAACGACAGCTACTAAAGGCTGTCATAAGTGTGCAAGGTCAGTGTCTTTGACACTTTGCTCTCTCGGTGTGGTGCTAAGACAAGAGACACTCCAAAGGGCATATCTGGAACTGCCTTGTCACACCTACCAGCATGAAAACAAATGACTCACGTTTCTGTGTGAACTGGACGAGTGTCTGATGCAGGTTTGAGGTCACTTCCTGTGGTTATCGGGGCGTGACGCTCGTGCACGTCGCCGGTCGGGCTGCAGTCTTTATTTGTCAAAGACACGCACAATGTCACTGTGATGTTTGGCTTCCCTGGTGATATGCTTCCGTGCTGCATCCACGCATTCCGTCCTGCTCACTGGAGCTGTCTGTGGAGTGCTATAATAGTGTGTAGGCGATACGGTCTCCACCGCAGTGGCTGAACTTGCGATCGGTGTGCCGGTGTGTGCGTGTGCTTGCACAGTGTGTGTGTTTTCACAGTAAAAAAAAGCCTAAAGGGGCAGAATCAGCATTGCTCCTGCCCCAAATTACCATGTATCTGCCCCATAACGTCATGTATCTGCCTCAAATTACCATGTATCTGCCCCATAATTCCATATTTCTGCCCCAAAATGCCACATTTCTGCGCAATGACCCTGGCTGAATCTCAGTATGCATACTTGACTGTACTTATATTTTTGTCTACCCGTTTAACGCCACCTTCCATTGCTGAAGACCAGTTCCAATACTAAGATCACAAGACCAGAGGACAGTAAAAATCCCTGGATGTTGGTTTGGCTCCATCCCAATATCAAGGAAGCCTCCAGTGCATCCTTCCCAAATAAGACCAATCCCATAATCCATTGCATACTGTTACAAAGGCGGAGGAAGAAGGCGCAAACCATAACTGTACTACCTTAATCGGAGCTATGTTTCCCTCTTTTCTGTCAGATAGGATTTTCCTGCTGTTTTTCTCTTTTTTTTTGGCTTGTGAGACTGCTGAACTGAAATGGTTAACACCCCTGTATGGCATTTCAAGAAATAATCAAGAATGTTTTAAGTGTAAACTTTATTTGTGGAAAACAGCATAATCATGCCAGGAATAGTCGTTTATACTAGACATTTGAATCATGTGTCATTTATTACGACAAAGTCAGGAAAATTACGGCTAATCAGCTGGCCGTACAGCATGGTGGAGCAGCTGTACCCTATAATACATATTCTTGCCCTATAATACATACCCCTACCCTATAATACATATCCCTACCCTATAATACATACCCCTGCCCTATGATACATATCCCTGCCCTATCATACATATCCCTGCCCTATAATACATATCCCTGCCCTATAATACATATCCCTGCCCTATCATACATATCCCTACCCTATAATACATATCCCTGCCCTATGATACATATCCCTGCCCTATGATACATATCCCTGCCCTACCATACATATCCCTACCCTATAATACATATCCCTGCCCTATGATACATATCCCTGCCCTATAATACATATCCCTGCCCTATGATACATATCCCTGCCCTATGATACATATCCCTACCCTATGATACATATCCCTACCCTATGATACATATCCCTGCCCTATAATACATATCCCTGCCCTATGATACATATCCCTGCCCTATGATACATATCCCTGCCCTATGATACATATCCCTGCCCTATGATACATATCCCTGCCCTATGATAC